TTTTGATCGGTATCGAATGACCTGAACGCTTGTCCTCCATATGTTAGAGAAACAGTGGCGTAGCGTTGAAGAGGACAATAATATAACCCGTTTTAGTACTCTTGCTTGGCGAATGAAACAGTACTAAACAGTCCTTACACAACATATTATTATCATTATCAAGCATCTTACTCGGGACAAGCAGCTTTTACCAGAGTCGGGCCCAATCTCCGATCTATTTATTGACAGCGCCACTCCCCGATTTTAGTGTCCATAGATCAAAGATTTTGAATGGCACAGTGCTTGGGGGCCAATCTTGATAGTACGGACACCTTTAGATCAATGGATTCGGTGACCCCAAGTTGAACTGTTTGATTGGTGGGGCATTGACGTTGTCGACGTCGTAGACCCATTTACTTGAGGGGGGCGGGTCTTCTCGGGCCTACGTTAACCCTATCCGTACGTCTTGTTTTACTATCGTATCCATACGACGTGGGGAACTCTGTGCCACTACTTTCCGAAGAGAAAATTTACTCTCTAATCCGATACGAACACTTCTAGTACGAGGATCTCTTTGACACTTTCAGTATTTCTCAAAAACTCATTTTGACAGACTGCTATACAAAGCGCACAGATCGGATTAACGAGTAAATTTCCTCTTTGGAAAGTGGAGGCATAGAGTTCCTTACGTCGTATGGATACAATAGTAAAACACGACGTAAGGACAGTTGAACAAGTCTACGAGAAGGCGTTTGTGAAATTGAGACGAAACGTGTTTGGTTTTTTTCTGTCTTGTTTTGTTTTGGTTTTTTTGTTTTGTTTGTTTGTTTGTTTGTTTGTTTGATTGGGGGAGGGGGTGTGAGCATTAAAAGTACACCGACGGTAACTTGAAAGCTGTTTCATGGGAAGGTGACATGATAATTATTCTTGGTTTTGGGTGAGTGCGCGGTATTGTGTGAGTGTGTGTGTGTGTGTGTGTGTGTGTGTGTGTGTGTGTGTGTGTGTGTGTGCGTGTGTGTGTGTGTGTGTCTTTCTTTCTCGCTCTCTCTCTCTCACTCTCTCTCTCTCACTCTTTCTCACTCTCTCACTCTCTCACTCTCTCTCCCCCTCTCTCTCTCTCTCTCTCTCTCTCTCTCTCTCTCTCTCTCTCTCTTCTCTCTCTCTCTCTCTCTCTCTCTCTCTCTCTCTCTCTCTCCCCTTTTTCTTCTTCAGTGTCGCGTATCGACGTGCTTCAACACTTAACTCAAACAGACAAACAAACATTATAACAAACGCACCAGCATAAACGAACTGAACACCCTCACCGCGATGTCTTCCTGCCTTTATCTGATTGTCTGTCGAACCTTCTAGATAAAGCATGTAAATTTGGATGACAGAGGCAGTTTTGCAAGCTCAAACTACAGCAATAAAAACCACAAAAAAAACCAGCTGTACCAGGAAGAAAATGCTCAAAAAGAAATGTCACCGAGACACAGGCGCAAGATAACAAATTTATGTTTGTTTGTTTTTTTTGGTTCTTTGGGGGGGGTGGGGGGGGGGGGTTGGGGGGGGTCTATCTTCTTTTTTGTTGTTGTTTTTGTTTGGGTTGGAGTTGTTTTTGTTTTGTTTGTTGTTGTTTGTTGGGTTTTTTTGCTGTGGGGGAAGGGGTTGTTTTGTTTTGTTTGTTTCTTGTTCATGTTTGTCACCTCTGTGTAATGGTTATCGTGGTGACACACGAGACAAAAAGAAATGTTATAGATAAAAGTAGGCTTTAGCGCTCCATTTGGAACTTCCCTCCGGCGTCTGTGGTGTAGTGGTTAGGCACTTTGTTGTATGTTGACAGCACGTTGAAAAAAAATGAGTTCGGTTCCCAAGTAGCGAGGATTTATGTCGAGTATCCCCGTCTTCCAATGGGGGAGGGGCGGTGTTACAATGCAAACATTCAGAAAATTTTCTTGATCTTGTACTCGCATCAAGGCTTTCCGCTTTCAGTAATGCCACCTTCGGATCGACGTGACGTCACGAGCAAAAGACACTTTTGACTCGTTCTAAGAATGGGAGGGGTCAAAATGTACTTTTACCAATCTGCTGGTCCACCCCCACCCCCCTCCCACCCCCAAATGCTTTCC